AATTTAAAAAAACAACAAAGCTAGAACCTTTAAAAAAGAAAGAGTTTAAACATTAGAATTTGTTCGCACAAATCTTATATTTTTTATCTTATGTAAAAACCTCTTGGGTTGAAGTATCCCTATATATAAATTTATTGTATATTTTGTTTACTAACGGGACATAAAATTTAGATTTAGTTATAATATTTTATCACAAAATATACTTACTTGGAAAGAGTAACAACAAAATAATTCTATCACTCAAACAGAAGCGCAAACAAAACTGACAGCGTTAGCACATTGCTCAGCTTTTTTATCCATAGCCACCTTGATAAAACAAAGCGATTTTCTGGAATTTCACTGTGAAAACCAAAAATTATTTTGTTCTGACTATTTTCAAGGAGCACTAGATTAGAAAGTTAAGTTATTCTAGTTTTGTTATGTACTATAGGCATTATACTACAAATAAAAGTACAAATATTTTAAAAAATGTCTCATTTTAAAATTAACAAAAAAATGTATTGTTTGTGGAATCGCCCAGCGCCGTTCTACAGAGAACGAACCAAAAAACGCACAATGCGCAAATTGTGCAAAAAAATGCAATGCAAAAAAAAATCCTTTAGGAACATTGAAGAGCTGCTCGCCACCATATTGCTTTCTTTTTTGAAGACTTGGCTTAACCCAACGCACGTATGCTTTCTTTTTCGTTTTTCTTCGTGGTCAATACTATATACGCCGCAGCTGCCAATGCTATTTCTTCGTCTGCATCCATATTTCTACACTATGTTGCAATCAGGTGGAAACACTAAATGGCACTGCACAAGTTACCAGGAACAACGTAAATTGTTTAGTCGACTAAGTGGAAACAAAAAGTTTACATGTGTTGCTTATAAGTTAAACATGTGGCAAAAAATAGAAACATACTCCAACAGAAATTTTTCTCAATGTTCCCTCAGTGGAAACCTACCTTAATGTATTGCCGTTGTTTTCGCCTGGAAAATTGTGACATTGTGACAAACAAAACATTTTGTTAAAAGGAGGAAATTCAATACAAATCTATTTTTTTCTGAATAATATTTCTTCCATTTCGATAAGCTATCTGACTTTATACGGTCGGATATTCTTCATCGACAGAAAACTAAACAGGACTATCCCGACATAGTAAACCATCTGCGGTCGCCTTAATAGGTGGTTCCAACTCCGTTTTTACCCTGGACGAACGTGGGCACCATGCGGGCAATATACCATCGCCATTGTTTCGGTTTTGATAACCGTTAGAGAGAACGCGCGCTGCATTGTGAATCGTTTATGGAGCAATAGCGTTAAACAGCTTATTAAAAACTCGTATTGAATGCGTCCGTAGTTTATATTGCGATTGTTTGCCGCGTCGCTTTCGTTTCCAGTTCTTTATTTTTATAAGAAATATTTGTATTTGACTTTGAAGCTGGCGTCGAATCTAGAATTGAGCCTAAGATAATTGACTTCAGTCTATCTACAATGAAATGGAATCACAATCTATAGTAATTTTGGCGAAGTCAAGCCCTAGATGTCATTACTTGGCCCGTGCTCTTCTTTATTTTTTTAATGGCGTTTGCTGCGAGTTGTAATTAATTTTTATATTCAGTAAAAATGATTTTTAAATGGTGTAGTTTAAAATTCGAGAAAAAATATTTTTTATTTTTTTTATATCATTAATGTTAATTTTTGAGAATTTTTATTAAATGACTTCCAGAGAATGACCTCGCCAAAATTATCATCCATTGTCATTCCCCAGCCTTCTTTGATGCCGTGAAATTTTCCATAATATGGGAAACGTCATCGATCGTAAATTCATATTATAAATCTATACTGATATATAAAATCCTTAAGTGACTGACATACTGATTAATCACGATCCTGCTTAAAACACTCAACGTAAGAAACTCAATTTTGGCATACAGGTTGATTCTAGGGTGTAGAGGTTGGATAAGAAGGGATTTTTCGAAATTCCAGTTCCAAGAAGGTGAAACCACCCCTCAAATATTACAATATTTTTTTATTTAAAAAACGGTCAAGTTTCCGAAAAAACGCTTAAACACGTATATTTTATTTTGTTTTTTTACATATTTTAAGATTTTTAAAAAATGTATACAGGGTGTTTCGAGAAATCTGGTCATTGATTAATCACGATCCTGCCTAAAGCGCTTGACGTAAAAAGCTGATTTTTGGAAAACAGATTGACTTTAGGGTGTGGAGGTTCGATAAGAAGGGATTTTTCGAAACTCGAATTCTAAGGGGGTGAAACTATCCCTCAAATATTAAAATATTTTTTATTTAAAAACCGATGAGTTTTTCGGAAAAATTCTTAAACACGTATATTTTATTTTGTTATTTTACATACTTTAAGATTTTTTATAAATTTATACAGGGTGTTTCATAAAATATGACCGTTGAGTAACCACGGTTATGCTGAAACTGCTTGACGTTTAAAGCTGATTTTTGGTAAACGGATTGACTGTGGGGTGTAGAGGTTCGATAAGGAGGTGTTTCTCGAATCTCAAATTCCAAGAGGGTGAAAACGCCCCTCAAATATTACAATATTTGTTATTTAAAAAACGGTTAGTCTTTCGGGAAAACGCTTAGACAAGCATAATTTATTTGGTTTTTTACATATTTTGAAATTTCTTAACCACGATTCTGCTTAAACTGCTTGACGTAAAAAGCTTATTTTTGGCAAACGGATTTTTCGAAAGTCAAATTCCAACGAGATGAAACTACCTCTCAAATATTACCAACTTATATAATAATATCGCCATATTGTTTTTTCTCATGCTGACATAAATGTGAGAAAATTTTATCCAGTTTTTATGTTAATGGAAATTCTTGCTTTGCTTTATCATCACCATTACAAATGATTAATTCGACGCGAACGAAGTCGCTGGTACACGCTAATTTATGTATAAAATGACAGCGTTCTTCATTTTATAGTCATCGCTGAGGCCGGTTTTTCTTGATCATATTGTATCAAAATCCGCCAATATGCATCATACTGCAACAAAACCTGCCTTCTCCGAATTATTTTTGTGGTTTTTCTGCTTAAAAATTAAATATTAATTTTTATTTCTATAAAACTGAGATACAAAACAATGATACCACACAATGGACACGTTTTTTGAAAATTAGCGCTTCAAAAATTTATTAAAACAGTTTTTGCTTATTATCTCTAAACAAAGTTTGTGAGATAAGATGGGTTTTGCAACTTGACGTCTCAATTGTTTTAATACACTTGTTACCTCTAAGTGCTTTTATGATACTTAAATTTTATTTTTTGGCGTGACTATTGGCGTGTTCGATTGTGACCTTTCCAGATCTACTGTGATCCTCTTCCGATTTCTAAATGTCATTCTCTAGTCCTGTACTTTTAAAAAGTCTTACAGCTAGTTGACCGAACCAACCCTCCATATTTGTGTTATTAATTCTTTATGTCAATGGCCTTATTATCATTGACTGATACAAAAAAACCGCACATTTGCCAAGCTCTAACACATAAAATGTGTTCTATTGTTTCTTTTTTATACTAATAAAATCTACACACAGCTTCTTAGATTCCTCTTAATCTTACAATGGCCTGTTAGAACACCCATTAAGACACTCGAAGAAGTTCCTCAGGACTTACGACCAAGGAAAATCATAGAAATATGATACCAAGAGGACCTAGTCCTAATATATGAAGAAGAAGAAGATTCTATAATTTCTTAATCTAGAATACTGCAACCTGTAATCCTCAATGAGTTTTTTCATCGAAAAAAAATCGAAATTTGAATTGCACGCGCAAAGAATCTTTAGCTGGATTCTTTTCTTATCTTCTTTATTACGATCGGCGTTTTAATCCACTCTCGACCACTATTCCTCAACCTGTCATTACTCGCTCTCCCCCTGTACATCTATATTGCTTAATTCGCCCGTATGGAGTTATAACGCTCTGCGTCGATTGCGCCCTTCAATTATGTCCCTCCGTGCGTTCGTCCTCCGCGGAATCGTTCGGCGTTGTCAGATTTTTAACAGATATGTTCGGGTTTTTAATGTTTGGTTTGGAGAAACCAGTAAACTTTTTTATTTAGCCAATGTTGTTTTTTGTATAATTTGTTTTTTTACCTTGTTTTTTAACTTTGTTTGTTAGTTTACCTTTGTCTACAAATTGAAAAATTTTTTGACAATAAAGGCATTTATTTATTTATTTATTTATTCCTAAATATGATAACTTTTGATATACAGGGTGGTAAATTTTTCAATTTTTTTTATAACAACTCTGATGTTTCTCCAAATGTCTATCTGATGGTTCAACATTTTTTTATTCCAGACGCACATATGACTATAGTCTCAATTATTAAAAAAAAACTCAGTTTACTAATATGGCTATTAAAAAATAGAGGTTGATGGTAGAAGGGTGAAAATTTAGGGTTGTATGTACTTTTTAATAATATAATAATAATAGCTCCCGTATATAACGTTTAACGCCTTGGGAGCAAGGTACAGCTTACCATACTAGAGCCGTTCGGTATACAAGGAAGGTAATGTGGCTAGCACTACGCTTCAACCGCCTATTATTACCTCAGGATTGTGAATCCCAAGTACTCATTTAAGGCTGAGTCGACCTAGGTACCCAAACTATTTTTATTTTAATAAAAATAGTCGGCTGATGAAATGCCGGGTGTGGGAATCGAACCCACTACCTTCAGATTGATAGACGAGAGCCTGTACCTCTACGTCAACGGGCACCTTACTTTTTAATACCACATAAAAAAAATAAAAATAAAAATTTTCAAAACAAAAGATTTTTCATTTTTTGGTCCTAAACCTGCAAACTTCATTTCGTAAAAAAAATATCGTTGATTCTAGGGAAAGGTACGTAAACTTGGCATGGCTGGTATCATCCTCGGAGCACACGAGACGACCAATTAGGTCGAATCGCTCTAATTTGCGACCAATTTGCCCGGTCTTAGCCGCCAATAAATACGGATCGGACGCTTAATACGACTTACTTCGGTTTGTCTCTCACGGTACCCGAAGAACTACCATCGTCTGAGCGTTTTTCATTCGTTTCCATCTATATTCGTGTACGAGATTATACCTAAAAAGAGAAAATTCCATATTAAATATAATAAAAACTATAATATTTATCACTGAAAAACAAAACATATAAAAAGAAAAAAACTCATCATTGATCTTAGATTTTTGTAAAAATATGACACACAATTGGTGTATTAGCTATGTTATCTTTCTTCCCCAACTCAGTTTACTCAGTTATTAATAGTATATAGTAACAGCAAATTGTGTCAAAAAAATATAGCTAGTATTGCTACAATTTGTAGTGAAGTATTTAGAGGCTGAGTCTGGGAGGGGTAGGGGCAATATGTATAGAAAAAGTCGACAAAATGCCCATTTTTTGGCATTTGTTAAACATTTTCAAAGGCGTTGGAAACATGGTAAACATAGACATAAAATTATGAAAATTTCAGCATTTGTAGGAAATTTTATGCAGATTCAGAATATATTGCATTTAAAAAAAAACGAAGAAAAATTATTTAATATTTTAGAAAGTTTGGCGTAGAATTTTGAATATCCTGTATGATTTACGATTACCATTTTTATAGAAAAGTAAGTGCAGACTATCTAAAGTAAATACTTAATATAGTTTTTATTTCAGGACAATTCTTTTATTTTTTATAATTTTTTTTTAGAAAGGTTGAAAAATATATATTTTTATTTATTATATTAACTCATATCTTAGGATTATATAAAGTGATCTGAAAGGACGCCTAATATACAATAATATACAGGGTGTTCCGTTAAAAAAAAACATCCCGATCCATTCACACTTTTTTGAGCCACCCTTTAGAAGTTAAAATAGTTTCCTCAAATACATCCTAGAACATACATAGGTAGTGTTGGGAATAATCGGATGATTTCAATCCTCGAGTATTTATCCCCGAGGATTCCAATAATCGGATGATCATCCGAGGAATCCTCGGTCATATAATTTTATCGATCGATTGATACCCGAATAATGCTCGGCGCATTTTGCTTGCTGTTTGTTCGCACATGGTTAGCATGTACATGAGAAACCTGAATTATATTGTAACAAAAATAAATATTTACCTATTTTAAATAGATTTTTTAATATTTTTTTATATTTTCGTGTATATAATTTGATGTGAGAAATAACATTTTTACAGGCTACGCTTAGGAACATGCTTTTTGTTTCTTTAACTCTTATTTTGAGATTTCTTTGACAATCTTTCAAGTCAAATGAAAACAAGTAATTCGGGAAATTACTTGTTTTCATTTGAAACGATTTCAGTATAAATTGCCTTGTATTTTCGATTTAGCGTGTACGCCACACATGGTGTTATTATAGTTGCGTGCCGAGTAATCCTCGAGGATTGACAAACATCCTCGAGACATGCCGAGGATTTGAATAATCGAGTGACTTAGGTTTGCACTTAAACAAAATTTGCAAGTTTTTTTTCCAGGAGCTATGAGGTTTTTTCGCGAATAAAAATTGGAAATCTGGAATTTTTTAATTTTAAGTTAAAAAACATAATATTTTATAATATTATATATTATTAATATTTATATATTAGAAAACCCAGAAAAAATCCAGTGGTTCTCAAAATTTAAGCAAAAAATTTTTTTTTTTAAATCAGAGTAAAATAACTCGGTTATTTTGGAGTTATTTGAAAAACGACAAAGAGAGAATATTTCTTTTATCGAGCAGCCCTGAAAATATTTGCACTTATTTAAGACTCACCCTGTATTTCCAAGCCATACGACATCACTTACCATATATCATCGAAATATTAGAACATAGTGTTGTAGTATTCAATAATTTTAAATTTGGTTTTAAATTTAAATGGTATGCTTCTTGGTTATGCAACCAAAGATACCGGAACGAAGTGTCACAACTTCGAAGGATTATGGGTAGTCCGGAAAAAGAAATGAGAAATTCGCTCTCTTTCGATTGTGATCTCAAAGATGCAGGTTGTAAAAGGATTCAGGCCAATACAAAACCTTTAAAAAATAGTTTCTCCCTTTAATTAAAACACCCCCAAAGACGACGAAGGCGAGAACATGGCGCCCAACGCGAGGCTGATTGATAGTTGGTGGAATTATTAACGAGGTTAGTAGAAAAAACTAGAAATAAGAAAACTTAACTTGGCTTGGGGAAGGCGAAGTTGATGGTGGACAAAATGGCGGCACGAAAAAATTTTTGGATGACTTTGGACAGGACAGGGATGTTGGCAAATGGCGATGAGGAGAATAATTCTGACGATTCTGACGCTATCAATCGGACATTGGACAATTTCCCGAATCCTAATACACACGAAAATGAAGGTAAGAAGGCTGAATCCTTTCTACACTCAACCTCAACAAATAGATCGACAAATCCATTCTGTAACGTAAATACTAAGGAAAGAGAGTATAAACATAGTAATGATTTGCAGTCTATAGATGTTATTAATTTATCACAAGCATTGGTGTCATCTTTTAAAGAAGTGGTAGATTCCTTTAAGTCGAAAGAGTCGGCTTCGAGCAGATTTTTAATAACCTTTTCTGGGAGATATTACGAAGACCCCATAGAGTTTATAAGAAGTATCAACCAACATTTTCATGATCAAAAAATTTACCAGGATTTACAAAAGGTTGAAGTCATGGTGGAACATTTAACGGGAGACGCCAAAAGGTGGGTAGAACCTTATAAATTTCTAAATTTAAATTATGATCAGCTAGTAGATAGATTTTTAAATCAATATGATAATGAGCAGAATAGAGCAAAAAACATTTCGAGGCTATATGGGGAAAAGCAAGAAATTAATGAAGCAGTGGATTTATTTATAGCTAAGAAGGCAGCATTGTTTCAAAGATTGATGCCTGGTACTCCAGAGAGGGTGCAGACGTCCATTATTTTAAATTTGTTATTGCCTGAGATTAGAGTTAACCTTAGAAATGTTTCAGATATGGTAAATTTGAAAGACTTAACTCGAGTGGCAGGGCAAGTAGAGAGTGACATGGCAGAGACAAAAAAGGTTACAAATAGGAGCACAACATCAACCAACAATATACCTCATCCATGTAGGTTTTGTGGAGATAACCATTTTCATAGAGATTGCCCTAGAAATCCATATGTTACGGGAAACCGACAGAGGGCTGTGAGTGGCAATCAATCCTCCCAGCAGACTCCAGCCCAACAACGACAGAACAGGCAGTAAGTACATCCCTTTCCTCACTAACGTCAGTAGTAAAAAGTCACACTCATATTTTAAAAGAAATCGTAGACAAAATTAACTTTTTAATGCAAAATAAAAAAAATTCTTCAGTAATTTCAGTAATTAACTCAACTTTTCATCCTGCTCAACAGTTACCTCATGTCCAAATTAAGATTTTTGATAAAATGGTGAATGCTCTGATTGATTCGGGATCTGCCAGTAATTTTATTCGTACTTCAGTAATTCCTTCTAAGTATTCAAGTGTTTTGCAAGAAGAGACACCACAGAGTGTTTTGTTTGCGTGTGGGTATTCAAAAATCACTAGTTTTGGGTCAGTTTCTGAACAATTTTCTATAGAAAATACGAAATTTAATTGTAATTTTCAAATTCTTTCTGAGTTAGAAGAAGAAATAATATTGGGGGCTCCTTTTCTAGAACAAAATAAAGTAGTTATAGATTATGGTAGAAAATGTATATATGCAGGGGTGGAAGAACGAAAAACATTTTATTTTCGACAAAATTGTAATATGTCAAAACATTCATTTGATCTTCCAGATGATTTAGAAATTCCAGAGCAATATAAATTAGATCTTTATCCCCTTTTTCAAGAATTTAGTGAACTTTTTTCTATTAATAATTTACAACCTACTACGTCTACCACAAAACACTCTATTAGATTAAAAGAAAACAAAATAATACAACAGAAACCGTATAGAGTCTCTCCAAAAAATAAAGCCGTACTTTATGAACAGATCCAACAAATGTTACAAGCCAGCGTTATAGAACCGAGTAATAGTGAGTACTCGTCACCAATAGTATTAGTAGATAAGCTAGGTACCCAACCGCGATTTTGTATAGATTTTCGAGCTTTAAATAATATAACCATAGATGAACCTTCAAACTTGCCAAAAATCACAGATACAATGAAAGATCTAGGTGACGCAAAAATATTTACTGTAATCGATCTAAAAAGTGGATATTGGCAGGTGCCATTATCTGATGACTCAAAGAGATATACAGCTTTTTGTACACCAGAGGGACATCTTTATCATTTTAATGTGATGCCTTTCGGGCTTAAAAATGCGCCTTGTACGTTCCAAAGATTAATGACACAAGAAGTTCTATCTGGTTATTTACAGAAATTTGTAATGGTCTACTTAGACGATATTATCATTTATAGTCCAAATTTTGAATTGCATAAAAAACATTTACGGTTAGTTTTAGAGCGATTACGGCTTCACAATTTACATGTTTCACCAGCTAAATGTCAGATTGCCTCTTCAAGCATTAACTATTTGGGTTATCGTATAGAACAAGATACGAATACTCCACAAACTAAACATATTAAAGGAATTTTAAATTTTTCAATACCAAAAAATAAAAAACAATTACAAGCTTTTCTTGGTACTTGTAACTGGGTACGCGAATTTATACCGAATCTCTCAGATATCACCTCACCATTAACAAGACTATTACAGAAAAATGTTAGATTCAGATGGACAGAAGAGCAGGATGTAGCTTTTAACAAAATAAAAAGCCTTGTTGGCAAACCTTTGGTTTTACACCGGCCAAATTTTAATGAAATTTTCGTATTACAAACTGACGCTAGTGATAAGGGTATGGGATGTATCTTATATCAGGAGGACCCGAATAAATCTAAAAGAATTGTCTCTTACGCCAGTGCTACATTTTCAAAAACCGAGTCTCATTATCATGTCAATGAAAAGGAATGTCTTTGTATAGTATGGGCTATAAAAAGATATAGGCATTACCTGCAAGATAGACCTTTTTTGTTACGAACCGACAACCGATCTTTATTATGGTTAGAAAAAAATAAAGATGCCAAGACAAAGTTAACTCGATG